TACTGGTCTCTCAAATGGTCCAAGTGGAAACTAGATAATATTCCTCAAGGAACCAACACTTCCATTTATTTGACAAGGACTTCTGCTGGTAGTGCAGCTTCTGAATATTATCTCTCCGAAGGGACGGCAGAAGAACAAGGCGCAGCATCATTACAGCGCTGCAGAGCCTCTTAGAGAGATGGTCAGTGTGGATAATTGGGTCATTAAACTGTGACTTTTACACGGGAGAATGCTCCTCATTTCCCATTTGCTCCAGACAGTTAAGATTGGTTTCAATTAACCGTGACCATGATCTTTCCCTAACCTTTACCGAGTGGTTTTTGTGCCGGAACCTGAGCTAATATCAACCGCTGTAGTGGCAGATCAGAAAAACACTCGGTAAATAATTGTTATCTGTGCTAGTGGCAGGTCCACCACTTCAACTACTGATTGCAATGCCGTGCCATTTTGTACAGACAGTCTTGGCACCCAGACGATTAGTCCTACTGTCGTTGGGGATCCCCCTGACTTATACCACATTTTGGTTCAGAGGGAAATATCTGCGACAGATATTCAAGGTACATTCGAATGACCTTCCCTTTAGCGCCACCCATGAGTTTGCCACATTGGCTTTTCATCGAAATATCTTGACAAATATTAGAAAGGTTGCTGAGAAATTTGGTTGTGATATTTATGGTCCCCAAAGGATTAATTGTGCTTTGATTCCTCAACACTCAAGTAGCTCACTCCTCAATCATCAGCTCGAAATTTCAATTTGTCCGATACTTTGATTTACAACCAAATACAGTTTGGTGCTGATTAGCCAAATGTTGGCATGCAAACATGCTAAACTCAGGATACTAGAAAGGTATCGCAATACAGTGCCATTAAAAAGGTTTTGACACCCCATTTTATTACTACAGGTACATTTTAGAATGATCATGTTTTAATAAGAGCCGTAGGTTATTTCCCGGAGGGCAGTGTGTGTGTGTGCGCAGCGCTGTCTTTTAGAGGACTGCGTGAGGATCGGTTTGAACTTTGCATCCGGTCAAGAACTAGACTTCGGGTCCCAAGATTCACCAGAAGGATGGAGTCACCAAATTAAGCTGAAAAGAAGATTAAAGATCCTGCACTGAGCTGGTGTCTCTGCATCAGCAGAACTCCATTAAAAGAAACAAGGAAAATAACAACACAGCTCTAATCACATGAACTAAAGTAAAGGAGACGTCGGATTACTGCACACCTCGTTCATTTTTTAAGAAATACAATTTAACATTTTTAATTAATAAAGAAATAATTTAAAGTTGTTCCATCATCTATTATTCCATTACTTTTCCTGATGTTTTTATTTTCAGTACCGAGATATTTCGACAGGGTTTCATACCAAAGTCATAATTTTGGTATCGTGACAATTGTGATTTGAAAGCATCATAACTGCGCAATTGATGGACTTCATCTTACATTCAGGAAGTCACTGGAAAGAAAGTGCCGATAGAGGCACCAGATCAGAGAAATTGGTGATGTGGGCATGGTAGGAAATTTACATATTTTTTAGGGGGCAATTTTTGCCCCCACTGAATGAAATCCAGCGGCATTTAAAAAAGAATTGGGGGCACTTTTTGAAACTTATAAAATAACATTTAACCTTTGTTCAAAATAATAAATATACTTATTTAGGCTTACAGTATATGAGCAATTGTCATCAAATGGCAATAATAAGACTATTGGGTAGTATTCTACAGGTTCAAAGTGTTTTCTTAGTTTTTTGAACAAAAAACAAACAGAAAACATAAATCAGACAATCATATTCAATTTTATTCTTATTTCTTTGTGGTTATTTATTGTTATTACATTTTTTAAACAACTATTAACAATTATTAAGTCAACGATGCCTTGATTACATATACATCAGTCATTGTATGGAATTATTGAGAAAAATGTTTGTAGCACCTCAAATATTGTGATATTACCCATTTTTGTCCTGAACATCTGCATTAGTCATTGTGTGGAATTTTTGAGAAAAACATTTTTATAGCACCTTAAAAATTTCAAAAATGTGCCATTTGAAGGTACAAATTCAGTTCAGAGTTTTTGATTAGTAAAATATCTTAATTGACTGTCAGTCAGGTATTATTCATTAGCAACCCTCAAATCAAAGAATAAAGACACTTTACACACAATTTAGGTGTATTTTCCCTTTAACTCACGAGATGCAAGGAGCATGTTTTATACTTAATGTGAATATAATTCATTTAATCTAATTTCCATTATGCAATATGTATACTTTGTTGGCATCTTATTCTGAAAACCGGATGTTCGTCTGAAGAAACCGGATGTTGTCTCACGTTAATCTTTCCACTAACTTTCAAAGTCCTTCGCTCGCTCCCGATCTGTGCCGTTTGAATGCGTTTACCGTGAATTTCAGCATATAGGTGCACTAGCATTTAAGTGTCTGCTGAGTTGACCGCAGTCACAGGTCTGATGAAGAAGCGCTCCATTTATTTATTTGTTTAGAAAGTTCGGTTCTTCACGCACACGCAACATCAGTCAAGGCGAAAATCAAAAACATTCTATGGCAACTGGACCGGGTCATATAGGCTACGATGTTTTTGACAAGTTCATTAAATTATCGTTATTATTAGAGGGAATTATGGGGGCATTTTTTGCCCCTCTCCTAGTGATATCAGGGGCAAAATTATATTTCTTAGGGACAGTTTTGCCCTTTGCCCTTGTGTATTTCCGACGCTGGATGTGGGTCACTTTGGAAGGCAATGTAGAACTGCTTTGTTGTTAAGTCTGGAGAACTTGTCGAGTCCTAAAGTGACCAAAACTGAGCCCCAAAACCAGTGGTGGGCCGTACATTTTATACCTGGGACTTCACTGCTGTCCTGCAGCTGAAATACCACCTTATAACCACATTATGGCGCCGCAGCTATTCATTTTTAAGGCTGTAACTATGTACGTCTTCGTATTAAACCGTTCGGTACGAATCGTTTGAATAATGCTAGAGCATTTAGAAAATGCAAAAGCCTAAATTCAGGAAAATATAATGTTCTCAGCTGGTCTGGCTGTGGGATCCGCCATCATTCCTGAATGACAAACCGCGACCCAAAGAGATTATCATAGCATTTTACTTTCACAACTTGAACGGTGCTCTGCAATCTCTTTCCTCGTCTGTGTCCTCTGTCATGGTGCATCTCACTCAGTCAGAATGCCCATATTTGATTGGCTGAGCTGCATCACGTGATGTGATTCACTACCCGACAGCCTCTGCTGGCTGTTAAGTTTCGTTTCACAATAGTCACGTGCTCGCCCACTGACCAATCACAGCACACTCTGCCCCTCGTGGCAAAGCTACACAAGGGGTACATCCCAAGTCTCTTAATTGCATCCCCGTTTCCCTCACTTGCGTCCTTTCCTTGCGTCTTAGTCCCTCCCACCAGGGATGCATGGAGGAAACCATGCGAGGAGAAAGGAACGAGGAAATATGTTTTAAGAGACATGAGACGTCCTTTCCTCAGTTGCGTCACGTGAAGCAACGTCTGTTTCTGATGATGGAGGATCAGCTGATCACAGCTGGATCAGCTGTCAGTCGGCTTTAACAGCTGGAGAGACTTTTGATACGTTTGGTCTGTTCACATGATCACTGTACTTAATACTAGTAACTAATAAGACGAATAACTAATAAAGACACACAGTAATCACCACTGTAGAGGTGTTTCTCTCTGTAGTCTGTTAACAAACTGTCCTGTGTTCTGTTTATAAGCACAGGATCCATTTCTACCGGCGGAATGCGATCGTCTTGTTTATGAATTATTTGTCTCTGTACGTTTTGAAATTGTGACCGTGGCGTCATTATTAAATAACCCAGAATATGATTATTGTTTCTCTTAAATGATAAAACTCATCAAACACTCAGGAATGATGTAAAAAGTCTTTTGTCTCTCCAGCTGTCTCTGACTTTAATTGTATTCATATAAAAGTTATTGAGGGAAATATCAGATCATGAAAACACAAATCTTTCTAACAAATGAAGAAAGTTGTTTGTGGTCCTTTTGTTGTTCAGTCTACAATGAACATTTATTTAAACCAGATGGTGAATCAGAAACCTAATCAAATATAAAGCTTGAGTTTATTCTGTGATCCGTCTTCACTCTGGTATGAAACTCAAGTCAGCCTGTCCGATCGGCTGCAGTGTCCAATCACATGACTGATGAACAATAAGGGGGCGTGTCGGCCGTTAAAAGACTTCCTGGAAGTCTGTTCTCGTGGGTCCTCGGTCATGGCTCCTCCTCGGTCCCTCCTCCATCCTTGATCCTCGCTCCTCCGAGCTACTTTAGAGCTTTGGGACGGCCGTCAATATGGCGGCGCAGAAACAACTTCCGGTTCAATCGAGGAGCGAGGAAATGACAATTAAGAGACTTGGGATGTACCCATGGACACTGAGCGGCATGTAATGCTGACGTCATTATAGACCAGCGCGCAGGCTCTGATAGTCAAAGAATACGCCCAACATGTCAAACTAAAGATCTGATTGGTTGAACACTATGACAATCAACAATATCGTCCCCATTTACTTTAATCTGCACTGGCTGCAGGTGTGTCTGCAGGCCTCTGGCTCTCTTCTTACCTGGAGACACAGAGGTGAAATCTGATTGGATAAAAGCTCTACTTAAAACAAGCTGCACTGGAAGCAGAGCAACTGAGGAAGACAGTAGCTTTGCAATGAGAAAATAAGATAATGGGAAAAATATTTTTATAAATTATAATACATGTAGTGTATTTAAGAAAAATTATAAAATAGCTATAACTTTGTCATTCTGTTTAGGCCAGCAGAGAATGCTTTGAAGGCCCAGACGGCCCACCACTGCACAAAACTCGACTTTGAGTCCGTTCATGAAAATCACAAAAATAACCGGTGACATGGACATCCGTGGTGAAGCCCAACGATAATGGCGATAATGGTGTTAAGTGCCTCGGTCACAAATGCTAACCTGTCTCTGTGTTTATGTGCCCCGTAGGTGGAGCCCTTGAAGAAACCTACCGGTGCAGGTTAAGAGGCGGAGGCTGAGCGTGGACTTCTTCAGATGGACTCGGGGAAACCACCAGCATTCTTTTACAAAAGACACAATATGGACGAATAAACCTCAGGACTGCCAAAGCGCCGCTTTACCTCCCGCCCGTCCTCTCCTCTTCCTCTGATCCAATCAGAGAGAACAACCTCTCCTGCTTTCTACCTCCCAGACAAATAGAGAAGGAAAAAAAAAAAAGAAAGAAGTGAAAGCATTTTATTATTTGTTATCTTTTTTTTTTTCTTCTCTCCGCGCAACATTTCTCCATTTACCTCAGGGATTTTCTCTCCCACTGCCTACCTCCTCCACCGAAACAGCCGACCCCAGTGACTGGAACACCCGGCAGAAAACTCACCTGTGACCTCTCGCTGCTGTTACCATGACAACCTGTATTGCCTCTCGAGCTCTTCTCACTGCAGCCGTGACTATCAGCAACGACCTCGGACCTCTCGCCACCCGCCAGCTCAGACCTGCTCGCTGCCTCCATTGTACTGATCCATACTTGTAGCCTGGGTTGGTTATTGCTGGACGGGGGGAAAAATTAAATAACGGTTGGGTGCTAGTTGCCAGAAAGCCAGCGCCGCACTCACAACAGCCTCACCCTATCTCTACGATACACCCGGCAGGAAACTATATACCTCAGCGACACACTCACTCAAGGAAACCGAAGGAAACCTTTTTAGCAACAGCATTCAATATCCTGGTGCTTGAACCCATTCCGGCAGGTAACGCACGCTCACAAGCCCCGGTGCTTCAATCTACCCGGTAGACGACACTCCTTCAGCATCTTCCATTCGCCTCAGAGGCGGGAGTATAGCAACAGTAGCCAGGGAGGCCTCCAGAGAAGCAGGGAGAGAGAGAGAGAGAGTGACTCAAGAGCGCTGCCCCGGCAGTCAACTTCATTAAATTTGTTTCCCCATCAGAGTCGCATCATACACAAGCCTCTTGATCCAAGAGCTAGCATACATCAGCAATCGCCCAAGAAGCCTTTCGGGGAGATCACAGCAGAGCCTCAGAAGTCCCCCCCCCCCCCCCCCTTTTTGCCTCGAGTGTCACCCACATAAAGCCTCCAGAGAAGTCATCCACCCACAGAGCAGGAGAAGTTCCTGAGGGGGCCTCAACAGCAAAGGAAGTAAAGGCTAAAGAACTCTCTGGCAGATAGATATCAGAGCATTGTGAACCGTAGAAAGTTAGAAGAGCCAAATTCCGAGAACCGTATTGTGTGACAGCGGAGAGGGAAAGGAGGGAGACGGCGTTCAGAGTACGGAGAAGGATGCAGCGGTGAGTTCCTTTTTATTTTATTTGACCTGCTTGTGTTTCTTCTCCTCACTAACAGAAGGCTAAGGTATAAAGAATATAACCGTTTTTCGTCCTTTCTCTCTTCTTATGCCATTATATGCTAATGATTACAAGAAGAAAAAAAGAGATATGTTCCATCTCTTATCGTTACGGTCTTTAAATCACTAACTGACATTTAAATGGCATTTCTGCCTTATTAGATGATACGGAGTGGAGACGGACAGCTTTGTAGTAAAGGTCATTAATTCCTGCAAGAACGTTCATCCAGGCAAAGAAACCTCATTCAGGAGACACGTGGCTTGTAATACAAGTCTCTGGGAAGTTTGTAGCTTGAACGCGGTTTTGGCCTGACATCCACAAAGATGGCAAAGTAGTGCGGTAGGAGATTTGAGATCTCAACCATGGGACATTTCTTTACCCACACTAGCAGAGCTCTGGCTTAGAGGGTCGTCTTCCAATCAGAAGATTGGCGGTTCGATCGCCGGCTCCTCGAGTCCATCTCCACAAGACACTTAAACACTAATTGCTGCCGGTACGGTAGCCTCTGCCATCAGTGCAAGTCCACTTACCATTACCGCTTTGGTAAACACTGAAACATCAAACTGTCAGATGGATTTCCGTTTTTTTTTTCTGGGAACCGGTCATGTATTCTAATGACTTTGGTGATTCCTCTGGCACCAACACCAGCAGGACATTTTTATTGCTCTGCGCCGGCGACAGCTGAGGCCGGAGGCATGATGGTTTCAGGTCGTCCATATCTCCGGGACACCTGGAGGGAATTTCTACAAATTTGGCACAAACGCCCACTTAGGCTCAATGTTGATGTTGATTAGATTTTGGTGGTCAAAAGGTCATTGTGACCGCACGTTTTTGGCCATAACTAAGAATTCATATGCTAATTATGACACAAATGTCTACGAGGACGTAAGAGATAAGTACTCCTAAGTGAAATGAGCTCCATTTATTTTAATTTCTTTTGGCTGAATGACTGTGAAATACTCGAGTTGTAGTTCAGGAAAGGAGCCTTTTGTTAAGTTCCAGGCCTGGGATGGAAGGCAGAATATTTAGTTTAAGACCGAGCGGTGAAATAACGTAATTTTATAATTGCAGCTGTATCTTTCATGTCTTATGAATTCCATGAGGGATGAATTATTAAAACTTTGTCAGGTTTATGACCAAATACCTCCAAGACTGACATCCCCTCAGCTGTATTTTCTGTTTAGGGCTAATTGGCAAGTGTTAACCTGCATCATAAAACGGCTCCAAATAAGAAAAGGACAGTTTTTCAACATGACCTAGACTTCCAAAAATCATCTTATCGACCTCTTCCGTGTCCAATGACTTTAAACGCTGCACAGCTTCACTTGGCCAACAGACGACTGCTGAGATCCTCTGATGGAAATCATACACAGTGCTGCTGCTGCGCATTAAATTTGTTCTTTGAAATGACGTAAAGAAACATATATAAACAGGACACGCTGTTCCTCGTTTCCTTCACACAAGATTAAAGGAAGAGTGAAAAGACTGATGGGGAGATTTCAGAGAGACGGATGAGAGGTAGGTGGAGGAGGATGAGGGGGGGATAGAGGGGCTAACATGTGAGTGACAGAGACGGATGAGAGGTAGGTGGAGGAGGATGGGGGGGGGATGATAGAGGGGCTAACATGTGAGCAACAGAGGTGGATGTGACTCCAGCAGCATCAAACGTCTTACCTCAGACACCCTCAGTCCTCAGTCAATCAGCAGGAGTAGCACGCGCACCGCTGTCTGTTGTTGACAGTCTCCTCACATCAGCAGCTCAATCCCCGCCCCACTGCTTCGTGTTGCCACGGCAACACGCAGCCTTCCCCAAGCCACCTGTGGCTCAGGACACACGGCGGTGCGCATGGCCCACGTCGGCCAATCGGATCGTCGGGCTCGTGTGCTTCTGTGTGTGTGTGTGTGTGTGTCTGTGTGTGTGTGTGTGTGTGTCTGTGTCTCTCTTTTTTGGCCCGGGCCATCTTTAGGAAGCATTGACCTACTTGGACCAATCAGACGGCTCGGTGAAGTGTGTATGTGGTCACGTATACATTGTTAAGTGGCCCAGTGGTTTGGCTACTGCATTACAGGGCACATGGGGACAATGGGGGGGGGGGGAGAGAGAGCAGAAGATATCTCATTATCTCGTTTCTGTGCACAGCTACACGAGCACTGAATGAGTCACCATCGAGCTCTCGGAGTCTATTGCTGCAATCATGCTGTCTGTCTGTGTGTGTGTAGATAAAACACTTCCCACAGAAAACTTCTATGAATGTATGAAACATGAATTATACCCACCAGTACTTTATCGTTGTAGTTTTATGTTTCAGTTTTTTAACTTCCAGTTTGTGTGATGTGGTGTGTGGCTGAGTACAGGTACGTTAAGTGTAAAGGTTCATCTTCACTACGTTCATCTCACAGTTACAAGAATTACATTGAACGCTTTGATCAGTAAATGTATTTAGTCCGTGAGCTTTAGGGCCCTTTCAGACGGACGTTGACCCTGTAAAGAACTCTTCCTCATCCATTCCAGGCGTGGCAAGTCGACCCGTGCGGCGTCGACCAGTAAGCTGCTTAGTTGGCCAGTCAAGGTCATGCAGGTGCTTTGATGAGCTTTCAAACTGGACCTCCTGGTTTGTGTTTGATCTCCTACCCGTACCGGTACCCTATGTGTACACACCCACACCCACACACACACACATACACCACTGCAGCTTTTCTTCTTCAGTCCTGCTGCCAATGCTTGCGTCATTTCTTTTTTTTCTTGGGTTGTTCTTCTATAATGAAGCTGGCTTCATTACCTATTTAATTGGTAGTTGAGCACCGAGGCAATTTGGAATGTTTTTTAATTAAACGCTCCCTCGGCTGAATCTCTCCTCGGTGTCACTCCTCCTTGACCAGAAGGTCCTTGTTAAAACATGCATGATATCACTTTAAAATAGGTCAGCCTCATAAAAAAGGCCTTTTCTTTTTCTTCTTCTTTCTTACCCTGTGGCTCTTTGCAAAATTAAAACATTGACGGCTCTTTTTTTTTTTTTTTGTGTGTGCACTGTATCACTTGATCATTGGACCATCGCAAACAACAGCTGTGCCTATAAACATATTCCTCGTTGTTCCAGCGCGTTTCTGCCTTAAAGCAATAACTATACTGTGGTGGCGGGCGTGGGTGGCTCAGCTGTGGAGGGGACGGAGTGTGGGAGTGGTTCAGGGAACGGTGCCGGGAAGAGACTTAATTAGGCGCAGCTGAAACTGATCCTGATTGTCTCACTCTCAGCTGTATTTAATCAACAGTAGCGACGGAGGCGAGAGGGACAGCTCGGGACGAGCACAGTGATACACTGGGACGGACAGGACGGCAGAGCACTGCAAAATTCCTGCGGCGTGTGCTCGGAGGCAAGGCAGGAGAGAGCACACGGCCAAGCCAGTCAGATTCCATGACAATAAAGAACATTTGAAACCGTCATTCAACCGTGTGCTGGCATCCTTGTGCTCACCAGACCCACCGGGTAGCAGAGAACCTGTTACATATACATAATGCAAAAAATGAACTTCCAGTGCATGCAGTTTTATGTCATTTTGTCAGGTCCACATCGTGCCACCGACAGTACAGGGTTAGAATATGAATAGCTTACTGCAAGCTCAATTAAAAACTGAAGAATCTATCAGTTATCAGACAAAATAGATGTTTGTGCTCGTCCAGTTTTTAAATGCACACGAAAGCTTTCCTTTGATTTAAATTTAGCCCCGGACTATTGTTTTTATCACGCCATTCATTCCCCTCTCTTTTTTTATGTTTCTCTGTCGCTTAAGATTAGCGTTAACGGAGCGAGAATTCCCTGAAATGACAGTCAGCAGTCATGTAGAAGTAATGAAATGCAAGAATGATAAACAATGTCCAATTATCTCATTATGTGTGTGTTTTATAATCAGCACTAATGGATCGACCTTCACTTCACGTCTTTTGCTGAGATTTTTGGAACTCAATTTTCTTTAGAAAAAAACCCAACAACAACAAAAACCAACTCTTCCTGGAGGTTCAGAGTTGCAAACACTTTAACTGTTTCACTGCCACCTTTTAACACGACGCAGTAATGTGACATGGATTCCAGTGCTTATAAGAAAGAGATGTTTTATTGGATCAAAGTTGTTTTGACACTGATCAACATTCAGTCTTTATGTCTCTATAAGGTCTCTGACCAGCTTTGCTTTCTTTACTTTTTTTTTTTTATTCTCCATTATTCTTTGCAAGACTGGTCAAGTTCCTTTTTTCAAGTCCAGCCTCAACTTAAAAACAAGGAAAAGAACACCAGCGAGGACGCTCAGTCTGCACATGTTGGGGTCCAGAACATTGTGAACACGTTTCTATTGGCAGTGAGAGCAATCGCAGCACTGTGATCAGTGTGTCTACGAAAAACTCCACATTGATTGGCAAGCGCTTGAGGGATAGGAGATAATCAATACAGTTGATTTAGGGCTTAATGGGTGACTGGCAGCATTGAGTTGTTGAAGCGATCAAACTAAATATTCTATTGGTCCTTTAATTGGTGGGACGTCAGACGCTGTGGCAATGCAAAGCCTGCAACATATATAACATAAATATAAAAATGTTGTTGCTGCTCAGGGCACCAGAGTGGAGGTCATTGTCCTTAATCACAGCTGGGTTTACTGCCATCTGGTTTTTTTCTTTCTCAAAACATCCAATATCTTGCTGGAGATGAGGTGAAAGGGAATCGATTTATTTGTTGTCCAATTGCGAAAGTGATGGAATTTACGTTAGAGAAATATGTCAGTCTATATAGATACAGTATTTCAGCCACACTGTTTTTCTGAGTTGTGGAATATATAAGAGTTTCCCCCAGAAAAATTGTATTAATAAAGTTGCATAGCGCTTCCCCCGACGCGTCACTTTTACTCATCAATCAAGTAAATACATGATGGTTAAAAGTGATTACAGTTCAATATTT